TACCCCTCTACTAACCATACCGCCAGGCTTCAAGTGTCAAATTGCATCGTTGCCTACTTCCAAACGCTGCCCTTCTTCCGCTTATCCCCTAATGTGCGTGGAGAAAATGTGCCCAGATCCGGAGTAAGCCTTACCAGCAATACCGACAGACGCTATGCATGACGTCAAGCACCAGGATTGGAGTGCTCCTAAGTGTCCCACTGATTACATTTACTCCATCTTCCCGCTTAGCGTAGTCTTTTTCAGTGCTTTCTACCACACGAGGACTCCGTAAAAGATAATGGGATTGACTATGAATTCACAGAGACCAAAAACAACTTTGGGAGAGAGGACCCCCTACAATTATATAGAGCCACTGAAACCTTCGTTGCGCTCTCATCGATATTAGGACTGCAGGACAGCTTCACATCTAGAAGCAAGCTCATGACAGGCATTAAATGCATACCCTCTAATCGAGAGTGGAGTTGTATGCGGCACCTTATACCTCCTAGTGAACAAAACTAGTTCCGTTTTACTTGGATTTACAGCAAGTCCAGAGTTATTAACCAAATTATAATACTCTTGAGTTAAGTCGTAGAGAGTACCCAAAAAACGTTCACCTCGCCAAAAGTGCAACCTACTCACCAACTCCTCTAGCAGGTCGTTTACGGCCAAAATCTTGAAAAGGCGTAAGAGAATACCACCCTGTGCCGCGCTGCTATGAACCTTACTCTCTCGACAACTCTGTCACTGATCATGCGAAATATAAGCTTGGTTTTTAACCCAGTGATCTGACGTTGTTAAAGGCCCGCTCTATGTCGAGAAAGACTCCCACTGTGGAGTCTTTATGCGTTAAGGCTGTCCCAATGGAATTCACAATCAGCTTCTACAGAGTTTTAAAGCAAAACCGATGAGAGGCTGATTGGTCTGAAAGAGATATGTGTGTGAAGAGATTTGAGGTCTTTTTCTAGCCTTCGCTATAAACGTCACCCTGCCACTCTTCAATCCTAGGGGATGTGCGACGCAGTTAGTTAGTTTTTTAGCAGCTCAACGGGTATAATGCCGACAGATTCCGTTGACTTGACGGGCTTCAAAGAAACCTTTCTAGTAGGTCACTGAAGGCAGTGCCTTTGCCCCAAGACCTCGAATAGCAGGCCTCTCCCGGAGCTTAGTTGTATGAAAAAATCGGGAGCTAAGGGGAAACTTGAGCCACTCCACACTACTCATTGTCCAGCAGATTTGCAGGAAAACATCAATCTTACTTTGTAAAGTTCCCAGTCAGAGTGAACTAGTCTTACGGTCTTTATAAAGCGCCGTCTGTCAGAGAGATCAGCTGTTCACCAGAGAGGCTTCCGTCCGTACTTAAAGAGACGAGAGCGGGTTCCCTTCGTCCTTCAAGTACCATACATACATACTTATTAATCAACCTTGAATGCGTTTGTTTTTTTTTTTCAAAATTTATCCGAATTTTATTGTTTATTGAAAATCGCGTAAAATTTTTATTATTTTAGAACCAGGTTTTAGTTTTTCTTGTTGCATATTTAGCTGCTCAAACTTTTTAATTCCACATACATAGATAATTCTTAATTTGTCTGAAATGATTGTAAGTTAAGATGTGGTTTTAACAAAAACGGACTTTATCTTTACGACTGTAACTAAAAGCCTATCAGATTGATAAAATATGGAAGCTTTTCAATTTAACTCCACACACATCCATATTAGTATCGAATTTCGCTTAAAACTTGTTGTTAGCAAATAGAAAGAACACAGTAGACCTCAGCGCACACGAGCTTTTACATTTGTTTGTAAAAAGTTCAATCGAAAGTAGCTAAATTTTTGAAAACTTTTAGCTGTAGACAATAGATCTAAATTAAATTTATATTTAGATTAAAAATTTTTATTTTAAATAACAAAAAAATCAATTTACTTATAAATAAGTACAAATAAGTTTATTTGATTTGCAATTTATCATTAAATGTTTTAAAAAGCTGCTTTTAAATTAAACTTTTTTAGTATTTTATTTCTTACTTTTTTATTTATGTAAATCCCATTAATTCGTTTCCATTCGTTGTGTTCAATTCAAAGTACAAACTTACATAAATTTTGAAAATTTGTAACTCTATTCCAAAGCAATGCTAACACAAATGTATTAACGCTATTGTATTCCTCTTTGTCGTTATTATGCGCCTTAAAAATTACCGGCTGTGTAAAATAATTTGTAGAATTACCGCTTCACCGAGGTACATCAATTTTTAACTCACATTTTAAGTCTAATTTCCTTGTGCATACCTTTCAAGTTTTCGATGATTTTCTAACACTCCTCTCTCGCTCTCGCTCTCGCTCTCGCTCACAGCACCTTCGGGTCCGCCAGTCGGTTTCGTCGGCTCGGCGCGTTCAATGTCGGAAATCATTACACAGTGGCAGCCACCACTCGAAGAGCATCGCAATGGCCAGATACTTGGCTACATACCATGAACCAACGACTACAGATCACCTACTCAGCCATCGTTGTATTTGTAATCGATTTTCAGAAAAAAGTTTTCGTAGCGTTTTTGACGTTTTTCGGTTTTGTTTACACCGTCTTCTACCTCTTCGTAGTGATTTTTTAGCGATTGAATGTGTTTTCTGCAGCAATTTTAATTATAAATTTTGGTTTATTACATATTTATGATATAAAATAAAGTGCTGTGTGATCGGAACAAGTTTGTGCGTATGTTTGGTTTGCCAAAAGGCGTAAATTTGCATGAAAAGTGGGTGCACGTTTGTGGCCAGAACGTCATCAAGTTTCACTTTGTATATTTCATAATAAATACCAATTTAATCGCACTCAATCACCGCGCCTTTTTCGTTTTCTTTGTTTGTTTTCATTCTTAGGCAGATGTCAAAAACACTCAGAAATATACTTTTTTTCTTGCTTCTTTGATTAGGTGATCTTGTATTTTTGGTTCATGGGTTTGACCAATGACATTTCTTCGAGTTTTCTTTCAAAGGGTTTTTAATATATTTATTTGATTTCTTTGATTTCAATCTAAATTTTTAGTCATTTTCAAATACAAGAATTAAAAGAATAATAAGACTTTACTAGTAATGGAAGACGAGAAAAAATTAACAGTACGCCCTTGGTATTTGACCTTTTATTACTGCTTATCCTGATACTCTATTCTTATCATCATGGTATAGCCCGC